TGGGCAAAAGACCATGATAAGTTCGTGTGGTTTACAAGCGCTATATAGAACGATATCTTCTGCTCTATTTCCTGTCCTCCCTTGTCGCGTTCCCCACTACGTCTTAACGCAGTTAGGGGATTTTTACCTCCGGTTTTAAGGTCGCGACATGGATTTCTTCCGGAATGCTATAGTTTATTAGATTTTTGTTCAATTTGGTTTGATTGTACGATGCACAATTTAGCCGGCAGTCTTATGGCTTAATGCAACAGTGACTTACATAATTTTCATGCCATTCGTTATGTACACTTTGTCAAATCTTAGGAAATTCGTCTTAAAACAGTCGAAATACGCTTTTAGCTCCTTTATCAAGAAAGAGTAATTTTGTGTCTGTCAAAAAGGGCAAAATCCGTTTAATCATTTATGCCGTCATTGTAACTGATATAATATACACATATGTTACTTCCCTGCAAAAAAATAGTTTAAGTCTTTTAAGTCTAATTTTTGAGGCGTTCGAGCTTACGATAAAAACAACAACGACCACAGCAACATTAAGATGGTGACATTGCAGTGGCAGGGGAAAACTGATAAGCAGTGAACAGAAAACCACGATGAAGATATGTAAAACACAGTGAAAAAGGAAAGAAAGATGACAGATAATTAATCACTTTTTTTCAGGAGGTGAATTCGACATAATACACAACAAATGTTGAAATGTCGTAAACTAATTTAATTATCTTTTTTTCCCTAATAGGCCACGATCAATATTCTAATGTCTCCGAGGCTTTCGGGTCAAAATTGTAAATTTTCTAAGTTTCTTTTGTCTCTCAAATCCCAAAAGAGACTTGGATACAAAGAAAACAACACCAAACACAGCAGTTTGTCCTGAAAGCCCCGGAGCAATGTTAGAACAATATTGATATATCGAACGTGGCCTATTATTGCTACTCTGTAGAATCTCAATAGTCCGACTCCACTTTGCTGTAGTCAAACGTACAGCACAGTCGCACACGTAGCGGATGTTATTGTAGTCGTCTGATACTTGAAAACAATATCGGCGGATGAAACCAAAAAAAAGGTATCTTCACAAGTGAATCAATGATATCATGCTAAATGAATGTCAGTCATGCCTAGTAGAATCTCGAATTTGCCATACGACACCAACGGGTCACGAGGAAATAACACTGTCAACCTAACTTATTGTTTTAAATCACTTGTTGTGATTCATCGGGTTACTTGGTTGCAAACAAGCTATGTGATTAATTCAATATGAATTATTTCATATATACTTCACAAGCTATGTGATTGTCGCATATTTTAAAACGTTAAGAAAAATCGAGGTGATTAAATCTTCACCGTATCGAGCCCTAGTATCGAGCCCTAGACGCCGACGTCATTAATTTTATCCACAGACAGAGCATAATCAATCGAGCATAAGAAAGAAAACTGAATGTGTAACTAGTTAGCATCCACCTACCAAGTAAGACAGCAAGAAGTATCAAGAAAAATCATTATGCGTTAGATTATTGTTGTTATCTCTGACAATTTAGTTTGCTGGGAGGTTTGAATACTTATATTGCTTTGTTTTCAGTAGGGAAGTTCGAAAACTGAGACACCTGTATTGATCACTAAATAACAAACAAAAAAAGGGGGTTTCCCCTCGTGTATTTCGGTCTTAATATTAGCCCTGGGGGGGGGGTTCTCTCTTATATGGGCTATATAGGTATGTGCGGACCCAGAGGGTATGGTTTTTAGCCGTTTTGGTCATAAATAGGGTGTCGATTTTAGCCATTTCGAAAACTGAGACACGTGTATTGATCACTCAACAACAAACAAAAAGGGGGTTTCCCCTCCTGTATTTCGGTCTTGATATTAGCCCGGGGGGTTCTCCCTTATATGGGTTACATATGTATGTGCGGACCCAAAGGGTATGGTTTTTAGCCGTTTTCGTCATAGATAGGGTATCGATTTTAGCCATTTTGATCAATAATAGGGTCTCATTTTTGCACTCTAGTCTTGAATCGGGCGTGTTTCATAAATAGGGTAAGGGTTTTGGGAAGCGGGTCACATACTCCCACCCAAATTTTCTGGGAGCTCTCCCCCCCCCCCCCGGGGAGATATTAGACCACCGGTATGAGTTGATTACTAGTCTTTGGGAAGAACAGACTACAACGATTCAAGGTATTGGATAGAAAAAGAAATATATCGACACTAACTCCTCTCTGCAAACGTGGGTTCATGCATTGTCGCCCCATGGTTCACATGTTTTACAGACATTTCGACACGGCTATAAAGGACGGGAAGGAAACGCTTAAGATTCCCCGGATGAAAACAACAACGAATTAGTCAAAAATGAAACAGTTGTACTCTCTCACGGAGAGAGCTAACACCATATCATCGTTTCTGATTAGGGTATCACTATTTAAAGATTCTTTTGGTATTCGCCGAGATTGAAAATGCACACGTTTTGACGTACATGACGTATTACTTCCTTATTTGGTCATGCTGGGGTGATTTATTTACTTGAACGCGTTATTCATAACTAACTCATTTTGCGAAGTAATCCTCATAACGGCAGGTCAGTGAGCGTTTCGCTGTGTTTCTCCAACGTAAACTACACCGTCACGGTATGGGTCAGAATAACCCCCTTGTCATTTTCTTGCTTTTAATAAGTCTATTAGAAGGCTGTCGCAGTTCAGGTAAGCTGAGCTATGTGTATTTTGCCATTTCTTACCTTAGGTGAGAGAGGTTCTATTTTTTAAGAACCCCGGGTTACCAAACATGAACACTTCGAGGCGGGAACAGGGCCCTAGCTATATCAAGATATATTGAAGTTTTTAACTATTCTCAGCAGAGTTCACTATCATTATTTTTATAACAGTTTTAAAACATGCGGCCGCAATCTGTATAGGTTACTTTTACAACGAGACAAGATAAGAAGCGTATTTTACAATTGTCATGGATTACGACATGATTTTAAATACACTGTAAATAAAGAATTCAGGGCAGTTTGTACAAAACGTTATATGATAATAGCCGGTGTCTTGACCTTTGATACTTGCCGCTGATTTCCGCTTTTTAGATTACCATCGTCGCCCCGTTTCCGTTCAAGATCAAATTCAAAATTCGTTGTGGCTTTTTTCTTTTACATTATTAGGCAGATCCAGATCAGTCATGGTATTTCATTTATTTCGGCCTCGCACAAAATTACATATAAATTGAAGAAATCCCGAAAAGAGTATAGTTTATTAAGATAGGAAAAAAACAGAGATAATAATCCATAAAGGAACAATGATGTTCAAGGATGGAGAAGAATAGCACAGATTAAACAAAAAAGAACTTGAAAATTTGGGCTAAACTTTTCAGAGAAGCTCAAACCTTCACAGAACTCCTTTAATACTGAAGTAGTGGAATTCAAGGCGAGTCAATGATGATACACGAAACTCAAATAGGAAGTTACAAATGTACAGATCTAAGATGAATAAATAGTTGCTAAATTGTTCGGAAATCACGATGCCGATGTTGGTTTCTCTGCTTGGTCTCTGGAAGAGGAGGAGGAGGAGGAGGAGCTGCGTTAATCAGGTCTAAATTCATCGAGAAGGTGTTCCATGTAATACTGATCCAGCAACATGAGGGTGACTGTCTGTCTGAGAAGTCAACGGAGTAATGTGTCATGCTGAATGCGCATGACAACAAATAAAATTGAAATACGTGTGCCTCCGTTTAGGTAATGGCGCGCGCACATCTTGTATCCATAGCGACTGGTGAAGAAACACGGACTGCAAACGGACACTTGTTTCCTTTTAACTACGTCATTTCTTCTGCGAGCATAATCAGAAATATTCCACAGAATCTAACCGTCGTAACTTGAGAATTCTTGTTCTCTCGATGAGCCAGTGTTACATTTCTAAAAGCGCCGGTATATGCTCGATCGACTCGGTCCTTCGTCCTAGCCTCCTGACGCTCTTCACATCACACCTTACTTCTTCTACTGTGCTCAGTCTGCGAGCAGATACACCTCTTTTCATAACACTTTCATCTTCGATTCCCCCTATAACAAAAGAAAACAATTCAGCTCGGCTCAACCAGCTCTACAAATCAGCAAATAATTTTTAAACTGACGACTGCCTATATTCTAAAAAGTCGAATTGTATTGTTTGTTTTTTTCTTTTTGTTTTGTTTGTTCTTTTTTTGTTTTTGATTTTTTTGTTTTGTTTTGTTTTGTTTTGCGAACTGCTGTGATCGTGATATTGATCAAATAATTATTTTGTATGGAATGCCTATCCACAATCAATACTATTCTTTTCTTTTGCGATACTTTCACTTTCGTCTTCATTACGGGACTTTATTTCGACAAAAGAATTGCAAACTAAATAACAGATTATTCACTATGTTCATGAATTCTACAATAAACAATCAATATTGACAAAAGCTGTTAATCTGCTTGAACAACAGAACATGTTTGACATTACATTTAGCAACCGATAAAAAAAAAAATAAAGAAACATCACGACACGGCGAAACAAATAACAATAGTTTTTGTCCTTGTACCTTGCGTAACCTTAACCTTGACCGACGTAAATAGTGACGCGGAAACTGTTCTCTCAAAGGTCGGCACACACGAGGGGACTGGTCCCTGCGACTGGTCTTTGCAACTAGTCCCATGAAGAGTTTACACGAAGGCCTGCTCGCAGGGACTTGTCCCACGAACAGTTCACACGAAGCGTTTTCAGGAACAAGTCGCAGGGACTTGTCCCAAAGCTTCAAACCAGTTTGAATTCGTAGGACTAGTCGTAGGGACCAAATTTTAGTCCCTGCGACTAGATTTTCTGGTAAAAATGGCCAGTTCACACGATGGGACTTGTCCCCGCGACTTGTTGCCGGGACTAGTCGCGGGGACTAGTCCCTTAGTGTGTGCGAAAGGGAAAAACGAAGAGGTATGGAATGACCGGTATGCGCCGCCTACTTGTGCAATACTAGTGACGTGTTTTTGTATAAACCGCTCGTATAGCATTCAACCACGCAGTCAGTCTGTCATCGACAGCTACTGTAGCTAAGCGTAGCACTTCTATATGTTTAAAAGCGGTCAAATCATGAAGCACTTGCTCACCGATTTTCACGTTTTCGTGAGTCTTTGGCTCTTGACAGTCGCAGGTATGTTTTGTGAACATTTTTATTTCTCACGGTACTTCTTATATGAGTTATTTTCCTCGTCCTAAAATCGCCGTTTAATCTTACTAATGAGACTGATACTGCTCACGTCCGACCTCAAACTCGGTGAAATGGATCGACTGGAAAGTCAGCCAAAGAAAAACGTAAAAGAGAATCTTACCTAACTAGAAAATCGTTTCAATAACAAGCATTATTTAAAATTGGTTCTCGCGATAAATTTCACCTTATTTTCTCTCTTTTCTTATCGTGTTTCGTATCACGTCTACGCATTTGGGGTTCTTCCCTGCGGGGTCACATGAAAATTCCACAGACCATCATCGATAACAAGACATTGATGTTGGAATGTTCTGGTTATTTAGATTAGTGACGCGTAAAGAGCGAGTAACGATAGTAATTATGTAAGTCCGGCATGGTGTTATGAGTCAGAGAACTATCGTTATTTCGTATCTCTGTGAGTTCGACACCCTAATCTCTAAATGGTCTTGGATGAAGAAATTTTCCTCAATTTCTTCCTTTCAATTCTATTAAGGTCCAATAATTTTCAGCTTTGTCAATTTCAAAGATCGCAAAAAACTGGATATTTATTTTATTATCTATAAAGACCAAACCATGCATTTAGTGCCCTCCGCAGAATCGCTTCCCTTATCTCAATTCATTTAAGTCTCCTCAAAAACACTCACTCAAACCATCGTTTTTCTTTGTAGCAATCAACAGCAGCAAGCCCTCTTCGCCAACGACAATCCGCGAAAAGGTAACCATGCCCTGTCCCGCGTTACAAGAAGTGGTTAGGAACGACGGGACATTTGACATCGTCTATTGGTCAGTTTGTACATCAGAAAGATGTGACCACAAAGACACTAAATGGGATTGGGTTGCTGGTATGAACAACAAAGGAATCACACAAGTTGGACCAGAAAGAGTCAACATCACGACGGATGGAGCTCTGGAAATTCACAAAGTAAACCTGAGTGATACTGGGCAATACATGTGTACAGTCAAAACAATCAACCACTCATCGCCTGGAATATATCACACAACTCTTATTGTCATTGAAGCAGGTAAGTTAAAATTGTGCGTCTGGCTCTTGGTTGGTTTGTCCAATAAATTCTTCGCATCAGGTTGCTCCAATACAACTCGTTCAGGAAGGTACCTACTTATTTAAGATAGCATGCACGAAAAAGGGACTCTAAGAAGACGCGTTGCGACCGCACAGGGCATTTTGTCGTTTCACCAGCCGTGTGAGACGGTTAATTCGTCTGCCTAAGAAGGATAAATCGTTTCAGACGTCACAGACGAATCAGCTGAAGACGAATTCGCCCATGTAATTTACCGGATTTATACCTCGACGTTTTATGTCTGAGACGAATTAATCGACATTTGGATAATTCGTCCCTGGTATAAATTTGCCGTAGAATAGAGGCTATATACCTCTAAACGTTATATTATTTTCTCCTCATGTGATTCACTACAATATATGAAAAAACATCGCAGTAATATTAATGAAGGCTGTACATTCAGGCTTGAACGGGATTCGAACCCATGGCTTGTGCGATGCCGGTACAGTGCTCTTTCGACCAAGCTATGAAGTAAATTCGCAGTTGATCAGTTTGCGAGTCTATAAAATATTCGTAGAAGATGAAGATATGAATGTGACTTAATGAAGTTTTGTGACATTCGCTTTAATGATGTAAAAAAAATTTGTACGCAGCCCTTACATTTATTTTCATTTTTATTTTTTATTTATTTATTTATTTATTTATTTATTTATTTTGCCATCAGCAGCTAACCAGTGGGACAAGAGAAACCCAAAGCCGGACACAAAGGACTGCGAAAAAGGTAGGTTACTGTAACTTTTTGAAAATCAGCCCTGTGCTAACAGATATATTGCTTCAAACGATTTATTGATGGACATGCTTTTAAGATGTTCACTATCAGAAGAGATTTGCCTGACAAAAGTTTCCCTGATTAATGAGTTACGTCGTCCTTGAAGCTCCCTATTTTAAGTCATTTTGAAGTTCTCATAATTTAGTAAACTATGCGTAGAGCAGGAATAGATGAAACAGCGACAGAACCTTGCCAATAAAAGTAACAGCGCCATACATAATATATTACTTATCATTTTGCTATTTTTTTTTTGTTTTTGTTTTTGTTTTTTGTTTAATTAATTTATTTAATATTTTTACTTCGGGAAACAACCTTTGACCCTTGGTTAATGCTTAATCTTGACCAAGTGTTAATTATCTTATATGTTGTAATTATATAATGGTCTCTTTACCACATAAATTTCCACTCTATGAATCTGTAATTGTTTCTTTGTTTCCACAGATTACTCAGACGACAGCAGAAATCTTATTTACATTCTGGTGATAACGATCTGTGTAGTATCTGTACTTCTGGTTATCGCAGTGGGATATATAGTTTATATAAAGCGAAATGATCTCCGCTGTTTGAACCAGGGGAGTTCTCCAGCCTGAGAAAGTGTCGCTGGTGCGGATGTAGTGTAAAAGGAGAGAAAAAGACAAAAAGAAAAACAAGAAAACAAAAAAAATGAACAAAAAATAAAATAATGTCAAATACCAAAAAAAAAAAAAAAAAAGAAAAGATTGCGTTTCATTGATTCTTTCCTTGGATAGCATTTTTATCATTTTAACACCCTTTTACTCGTTAAAAATTAAGGTATGTTTGATGTGCGAAGTTAATCNAAAAAAAAAAAAAAAGAATTGAAAAAAATAAATAAATAAATAAATAAATAAATAACAAAAACAACAACAACAAAAAAGAACTAAAGAAAGCCTAATTATGTGGTAACTAATACCAGTAGTAAGATAAATTTGCTTAAATTATGTTTGGCAAAAATCCTAAATTAACTATAAATAGTTAAACTTACTGGCAAAAGATAAAGGGAATGGGCAAACAAAGACAGATATTATTGTAAATAATACATGATTTGGTGCTTTCGGAAAATATTAACGAGGGTGTGGGTTACCTTCGCTTGCTCTTAAGTCTGTTTTTCCCATACACATTTTGTCACGCTAAGAAGTTTCTCTTTTTAACTGGACATAGAGTAATGGTGAACCATTTTATAACGTGCAAATTTAATGTATAAATCAGTTACAACCTCATGCACATTGCATTTACCGTAACCATATTCACTTCAATTGAAGTGGTTGAAGTTGACGTTGTAAAAATTAATACTGATATCTAAGAAAACGTTAATAAATTATGCAAACTTTTGTTATATAAAACGGGCTGTAAATATCATATCAAAAACGTGATATTTTGACAATCATTTGTAAGTAATAATGAAAAATTGACTGCATTCTTGCAACTTTCAAGTCAAAAAATTATTATTTATTTTTGTATAAAAATTGTATCATATATGAAAACAGTGCTTTAAAGATGTATATTTGCTATTGAGATTTATTTAATGAAGATTTGTTGTTAGTTGTGCAACTGTGTAGAAGAAACAATGACGCCGTGCTGTTGACAGCACGTTGCTGTTTTCTTCTTCTTTTTTTTTTTTTTTTTT